GTCACTTGCCAGATCCGGATGAAATGGGCCAGACATGCCCTGCTCGTTACAGAAATTATCACAAAAACACGCATTTTTAAAAAACTTGGTTTTGGTAAACAAGGCATTGCTGTAAATTTCTGCGTTTCGAAAAATAGCACTGTGAATGTCCAAACTTTAAAAAAATCGTCACGTGACTTTAGGTCACGAGGCCAAGGATTTTAAATTCCAGTAAACACAAATTTGCAAATGGCCAAAAGATGCATTAGACTACTGTGAGCCCAGTGGCTTATAGCTCTGCATAACTGAGGTAGATCTGCTTAAATGATGTACTGTTAGCCAGTCATACTGGGTAACTCCCTACAAATGCCCGACGCCATAACTGCTCAGCCGCTGCTCTGGCCTTCTGAAAACGGCACAGCTGAATTCGGGCTTAAGACAATCCCATGGTGATATCTTCAGCTAAATTGAAAAATTATGGGGTGTTTTGTTTTGGCCCCTTCACCTATCGATTTGTTGTGGAATGGGCCGACAATCTTTTCCACTTGAAAAGTATACCAACAGCCACGAGTGAGCTCATTGCATCATGTCTGAGGCCTACTTCAATATCTTCACATGCGCAACATTTCCTTTAAGCCGTCTGCGGTTGTCTTCGTGGCCCTCCCACTCAACACAGCCGGGTCGTCTCCATGGTTACCGGGCTGGTACAACTCACCAGGCCCCCACCAGGAGCAGCAGCAGCAGGAAGAGCATGTTGGCGGTCGGACGACGGCAGAGAGATGGCCGGCCGGCCGGCTGCCCGTCATCCATCGCACCTTCCGTCGTCTATCTGACCCAGTTCGGAGGGAGGGGGGGCATCTGGCGATGTTCCCAGCGTACTGGTGCCTGGTGTGACCCGGAGCCAGGTGGCGGAGAGTCGTGCGGCTCCTGGCACCTGTCCGGGCCGCCTTACGTAAGGCCGCCCACAGCTGCGGCGTGCGGAGGGACGGAGCTCCCTGTCATCAGCATGCGGAGGGACTGAGCTCTGTGTCATCAGCGTGCTGAGGGACAGAGCTCCGTGCCGTCAGCGTGCAGAGGGACAGCTCCGTGCCATCACCGTGCGGATGAACGGAGCTCTGTGTCATCAGCGTGCTGAGGGACGGGGCTCCGTGCCATCAGCGTGAGGATGAACGGAGCTCCGTGCTGTCGACGTGCGGAGGGACGGAGCTCCGTGTCATCAGCGCGCGGAGGGACTGAGCTCCGTGCAGTCAACGTGCGGAGGGACAGAGCTCCGCGCCATCAGCGTGCGGAGGGACAGAGCTCCGTACCGTCAGCGTGCGGAGGGACAGAGCTCCGTGTCGTCAGCGTGCGGAGGGACAGAGCTCCGTGTCGTCAGCGTCTCGCGCAGCTGCCGCAGGCTCGGCGCGTGGTGCTGGCGCCAGCAAACACCTGCATTGCAGATTTCGAGGCATTCCACTGAACCGGTGCAGACGTGTGGCATCCAGCGGAGAGCTTTGCTGATGTTGGTAAACTGTAGTGACAGTGGTACGGGCACTTGAACAACACAGCAGCCTCCGCCGCACGCTAAGCAGAGCATCGACTCTTTTGGCTGCGGCCGGTGGTGAGAAACCGCCCACAGCCGGCGGTGAGGCCCGCTCGAATGCAAGTCCGCGTGCTACGGCGCGCGCGTTACAGACCTCTCAAAATGAGACGAAATCATCCACTTTTCGAGATGAGGTGTACTTTAACCCTTCTGTTTGGTGTGCTAAGTATAATGCATTAATTTTCACAATCAATTTCCAATTCAAAAGTTTCCAAACGATTCAAAGATTCAAAAGATTCAAAAGAGAGATTTAAAAGATTCAAGTTTCCAACAAACTTTGGAAGTCGGTTAAATCCACCGCCGATGAAGCTGACCTTCCCCATGCTGCAGCTTCGTGTTTGAAGTAGGACGTTGATATCACATGATCCTACCTCGTTTGTCGGCCAGCGAAGCACCGTAGGTCCAAACGCAGGCCGCATCGTTAACACCTGTTTAGCGCTTTTATCGGCGCCGGACCAGCCGTCAAACGGAGAGCGGGAAGTTGCTGGGCCCCCTCGAGTCCCCGGGTGGAACAGTACACTTCTGGGCGTTTGGCGTCACTCCATATTGCTGTTGGCTCGAACAGGATGAATGCATTGCATGGGCTTGGCACATTTAAATGCAAGGAACTAAGTAAGTGTTGGCTCACTTACAGTGCCCGCCACAGTTTCTCAGCACGGCAGCCTGCAGCTGAGCCAGTTTGGGTCGGCTGGGGAAGGCAGCCTTGGTCGACAGCCACTCAGCAGGCCTCCTCCACCGCGGCCGAACGCCAGGCAACACACCATGATCTCTGGCGGCCCGTTGCTGGCGTCAGGTCAGGTCGAGTGTTCGCGAGCGCCAACAGCGCGCACCATGCCGCGGGCTCTTCCCTTCAGCGTTGAGTGAAACACCCACGCTTCACGCATCATATTTATTTCACGCGGCCACTAGCGGTCGCGCCAAGACCAACACGAATCGCGCGTTTAAAACAAAGCTGGCCCGCGGAGCTGCCAGGAGCGCCGCTAGCGCCGCCTCGCGGTGGTTTCTCGCTGCCGCCGCGGCGTCAGCCGTAACGAGCCCAACCGCGACGGCCACACGACCCGACTCCGTGGCGCGGCCGCGGGAGGCGGGCCACCCGTGACGTTACGTCACGATCGCCGATGACGTCCACTGACGCCGCTTCAGTCTATTGCACAGCGGCAGCGACGGCGAGCCTGCGGCGGCGCCGCCCGGCGTCATCGTCACCGCGCGAAGCTCTTCCCTCAATAGTCGACGCGCACGCACACCCCTCCGGCGCCAAACCGCGCCCGGCCGACTGGCGCTGGAGCGCGAGACCCAGCGCGTGCCGCAATAGGGCGACCCTGTTTCAGTGGAATGTGTCGTTGGCCCCGGGCCGAGGCAAAACCCGCGGCGTTCCTCCTCCGAGTGCAAGCAACCAAAGAGCGCCGGTCGGGGCAATTTACGCCGGGGGCGGGGGGGCGGGTTAACACACACGGCGGAAAGCTCACGTCACGGAATGCTGACATCGAAAGAGCGCGACAAATTTGGAATGCAGTGTGAGGCCGTCTCGCCTGCAAGCGCCAGCCGACAGTACGCACACTCGCACATACACCCACAGGGGCGTGGCATCGCAAACACGGCGGGAACTGCATCGCCGCCGCGGCATCACATTATCTTCATCTTTGGCGTGTTCGCTGCCGCTCCCGGACGCGCAGCTGCCGCCCGGCGTGACCCGCGGCGGCCCGGGTCCAGGGCTCAGCCCTCCGGCGCTGCCCAGGGTCAGCTGCCCGCGCGGCTCCGGTCCTACCGCTCATTTACCTGCGGAGACGCTGCAACACAGGCGGCGGAGCGCGGTCAGTCGAGTGGCGAGCGACTGGCGGACTTCCTGCGGCCTGGCGTGGTGCAGTCATCTCAAGAACTTTATCTAAAACTATCCACGTGCGTAGTAATAAACGGTACCGACCTCCTCCTACGTGCCACGGATACCAGCTGACAGAACTAATTCAGATTCTCAAGGTCTCGCCTTAAGCATTGTTTCCCTGAGAACCCCTTTCTCTTTACGTTCAACACGAGAGGGACATATGTGCCATTTCCGAAGAGTCCAGGGAGCCCAGGTACGGTCGTGTGGGGCGGCGCAACACGTCAATCACTCGCACGCCGGCCCCGCCTTACCCGAGACCCCCCCCCTCCCCACACGCACACACACACACACGCACGGACGCTGCGTCACGCCGCCACCGGCGCGCGCGCAGACTGCGCTGTGGCATCGGCCGGAGCAGGCGGCGACGAGCAGCCAGCCCCCTCCCCCCCCCCCCCCAAACACACACAGGCAAGACAGGGACGCGTGCAGCGGCGGCGGCGGCGTCCGACGGACGACCCCGTCCCACTCCCTTCTCCCATCATCACCCGGTGATCCAGTGATCTCGGGCTACGCCTGTGGCGTTCAAGAGGAGCGCGCCCGGGGGGAGGGGGGAGGGGGCCCTATCTCTTCCTTCCCTGTTCTCCCCGACCCCGGGACTCCCAGAGAGAGCGCACCCGGGGGGGGGGGGGGGGGGGCGCTCTATCTCTTCCTTCCCGTTCTCCTCCGAGCCCCAGGAATCCCAGACCGTCAGCCTGCTGACGCCGCCTCCGGCTATGCGGCAAAGGTGCCTGTTCGCGTCATCGCCGTCACGGAGGTTTGTAAGGCTGCTTTGCGAGAGCACCTGAGCCCGTCGCTTGTAGCGCATCACGTTAGATCATTTGCAATAGATGGCTTGTTTTCCTTCTTCGACTGTTCCAACCATTTCGCCTACAGCATTTTGCAATTTCAAAAGCAAGGTAAAACAACAGTGCACCGAACCAAAGAAAGCTTACACTCCCCCTTTCCTCACACAACAAACAAAACAAACACGAGCTGTCCCGAAGACATTGCTAACAGGACCGCAGAGCAACTGCTAGCCACACACCGAAGAAGTGTTGGCAGGGTGACTCTCCCAGGCCTTCCCAGCACAACCAAACCGCAGCCCCGAAACAATGGCAGGCCAGCAGGGAAACCAAACAAGAGCATCCCAAGTACCCAATAACATTGCAGCGGAAACCACTGCAGCCAATGAGAGCACAGGCAAGGACTCTCCAAAGCCCCTGTGCTCCACGCAAACGCCGAGCCAAAGCAAGGTCGACCGATAGCCAATGGCTGCACGGCAAAGCCACTCAGCCGCCAACGGCTGCACAGCAATGTCTTCTGCCAGCCAATGGCAAGGCGACACACCCCAAAGCCTATCAGAGCGCTGCAGGCCTCAGTCGTCTGCAGCCCAGGAGAGCAGCCAGTGTGGGGGGGGGGGAAGGTCCGGTCCTGCAGGCATGACGTCACTGGGACCGGTTCGGACGGGGGCGGGGCGGGAGCTGGGCGGAGCAGAGCCGGACCAATCACTGCAGGGACGGAGCGGCAGCAAACTACCCCAGTGCCCGGCTAGGGTGCATCTGGCGCGCCAGGAGACCGGGTGGTGCAGAAGAGCAGTCGGTGCCAATAAACGCACCGGAGGACGGAGTCAGCCAGTGAGTAGTGGAGTCAGAGGTGGGGCAGTACACAGAGCTGAGCCGAACACCGAGGGAGGAGTTAGCCGGTGAGTAGTGGAGTTAGCAGGTGATGACAGTCACCCAGAGCTGAGTCAAATGCCGGGGAGGAGTCCGTCGGTGAGTAGTAGAGTCAGGGGTGAGGCAATCACACAGAGCTGAGTCAAACATCGGGAGCAGGAGTCAGTCGGTAATGAGTGAAGTCAGAGGTCCGGTGGTGGAGTAGAGTCAGAGGTGAGTCACACAGAGCAAAGTCAAACAGGCCACGGAGGCCAGAACCGAGAAGGGACAGTGGGTCGGATCCGGTGATGACTCATCAGCGATCAGCGGGTAGCACATCGACGGGAGAGAAAAGTCAGAGACGGGGTGGCGGGGGGGGGGGGGGCGATCTCGGCGAGAGCGGGCCGGCCGGAGAGGGGAGAGGGGGGGGGGGAGGAGCCGGCCGTACCTCGGCCGGCCCCAGCTGGGGGTACACCAGCAGCGCTACAGACAGGAGCAGAGGGGCGGCCAGCAGCAGTGAGCCCAGACACACGTCAGCGACGCCTACCTGGCCGATCCGGAAGCTGCGCCGCCGCCGCCGGCACACAAAACACATGGTCAGCCCCGCGGCACGCGGTCACAGGCACACGTCCGCCAGCGGCACGCGGTCACAGGCACACACGCCCGCTCAGGCACGGGCACACGCGTGGTTTGGCAAAAGCACTGGGTTACGGGCGCAGTTCTACTTGAAAAAATTTGGTCAAGAGCGTAATGTTGCCTGATCAGCCAGGTCGTCAAGGACGTTTAGCAAAGCAAGCTGGCGGGGTGAAGAGGGAAAATGGCAACATCTACCCCAAAATACCAGAAACACGTTTTCTCCAAATTTGGTCCACTGTTTTCCTCAAAGTCGGGGGCAGGCTGAAGGGGTGCACCCCTATCCCCCCAATGGACAGGAATATACACCCCCGAGACCGACCTAACGTAACCGCGGTCTCACCAGCCCCCGGGACCGACCTAACCTAACCGCGGTCTCACCAGCCCCCAGACCGGCCTAACCTAACCGCGGTCTCACCAGCCCCCGAGACCGACCTAACCAAACTGCGGTCTCACCAGCCCCCGAGGCCGACCTAACCTAACCGCGGTCTCACCGGCCCCCGAGACCGACCTAACCTAACCGCGGTCTCACCGGCCCCCGAGACCGACCTAACCTAACCGCGGTCTCACCGGCCCCCGAGACCCACCTAACCTAACCGCGGTCTCACCGGCCCCCGAGACCGACCTAACCTAACCGCGGTCTCACCGGCCCCCTCCCCTGCCCGGGTCACCCCGACCGGTGGAGTGCCAGCCGCGCGAGATCACGCCCAGACTGTGTCACTCCCAGTCGGTGTGTCAGTCCGGCGCCGCGACAGCGAGGTCAGGCCCGGACTGTGTCACTCCCAGTCGGTGTGTCTGTCTGGCGCCGCAGCCGGACTGAGTGTGTCACCCCGACCGGTGGAACGCCAGCCGCGCGAGGTCAGGCCCGGACTGTGTCAGTCCGGCGCCGCGGCCCGACTGAGGCGAAGAAAACATGGCGAGAGGAGGCGCGGGCCGCGGCCCAACCCGTGCGCGTAACTACCGTACAACGCCTGTGGGCCGTCTCACCCCAATCTTTCAGTACATTTATTTCTGGCCGTAAAGCTTCGAACAGGCTCTTTCCTGAACCATACAGGACAAAGCCTTCTGATTCACCCCAAATACGAGCTGGTCGTCTGGCGGGCCGAAAGACGCTTAAATCACAAATAATTAACACCATTAGTACGGCAACACCCATGTTTACTTGCTAGCATACTTATGCAAATCGGAAGAGGGGCATCAGCTGTACAGTGGCATAGACTCGCAGGCAAACTGGACAACCTAAGGTGAACCGGGTGAGTTAAGGGCGACCCAACCCGACGGCTCTGTTTTGTTAAACGCACGAGTTCACCAATCGAAATCAACGCTTCATTGGCTCGCATCGTAGACGTTACCGTAAAAGGGAGTGTTCCATATTCATGTGGGTGTTTGAACTGAAATAGCCATCTTAAGGACCGTTGGTGAACAGCCTGCCCTCCCTAAGACTTAAAGCCCTCCAGTTTCTGAGCTATACGCCGGCAAAAATGTAGGGTATTTTAGGCTGAGAGCTTCAATGCCACCTAAGCATACATGACATCCTAATAACGTCATTCAAATCCTGTCATTCCATAAGCCACGCGGCAGTCCAGGCCGAGAAAAATATACTGGTCCAGTCATTCATATCTAGCGTTCGTGAGCACGATTTCGAGATGTAACGACCGTCAATTAGCTCTCAATCAATGTTTTGCTGGGTACGATGAGGTACTCAAACAATAACGTATCAAGGAGCATAGTTACTAAACAGGGAAATTGTGGTGTCTGGAGCAGTCCTTTTCTACTTAAAAATATACCAAAGCTATAAATGGGTTTGTTTCATCATATCCCGAGCTTTAATATCTTCGAATGTGAAACATTCTGTTTAAGCCATGACTCGCCCACTTATACATGTGAGCTCAGATTAATGCGTTGCACAATACCCTTGTTCGCCGACTGCGCACACCCGGGCGTACCCGATTCCAGTCTAGTGTTATTAGATATATGTACCTAAATGACCCTTTTTTTGTGACGCTCCATCCTGCCCGGCGCACATCTCAGTTGCCACCGCAAGCGGCGGCACACTGACACCCAGCCAGCAGCCGGGTGTCGGCGCAGGGTCCGGCACGGCCAGCGCGGCGGCGCCCCGGCACCCATCCAGCAGCCGGGTGTCGGCGCAGGGTCCGGTACGGTCAGTACGGTTCACAGCCAGGCTGCTGCCGCTCTGGGCCACAGTGCCGGCACTCCTGCCCGCCAGTGCTACCGACCACGCGTGTCTAGTACCACTAGCTCGACAGCTGCTACACAGAGTGCAAAGAGGAGCAATGAGCGACGCAATTGAACCAAACACAAATGTATGGCGTCCTGGGTATGGTTTAATGCTAACATCAACGACACAAATGCAAATGAAACGTTGATTTGGGTTGATGAACTCGTGCGTTTCACAAAAGAGAACCGCCACAAAAAAGCAGGCCATGGCGTTGTGCAACGGCAAAATCGGTGGGAGTCGGCAACGGAACAAACGGCATTCATATACTGATGCTGGATGTTCAGAACTCATTAGCCATGTTAGGTGTTCTGCCTGTGTAGCTGCGCAATAAGGCCCTTTCGGGCTATGCACGGACTCGAGCCATGCAGCGATTGTGTTCCATTTCGTTCTGAGATAATTCGATTCATTGCAATTTTTAAGGAATGAGACTGACTGAAAGGCGTGTCCGACAAATTTAGAGAACGACAATTCAGACCAATGAACCTAAAGGAATGTGATGGAAGATTCCCACGCAACGACCTGACGATCCTGTGGCTAAGACACCGATCATAATTACTCGGAGCAACTGCCAATTCATTTGGAAGGAAGGCCTGGCAAAATATCGCACCGGATCGCGCTGTAATTCCAAGCCATGGCAGAGTGGCATGGGAAGCACTGCAGACGCTGCGTGATCGCAGCATACGCCGAATGTTCTAAACGATGTTTTTGCACAACATGGTGTCGCAGAGTGAGTAACGCTCCGCGTGCCGCAGTATGTGCCTGCCGCATACTAAGGGGAGGCCTGGGCCTCCGACAGAAAATACGAAAATGGGCGTGATGCAGGGGTGTGGTTTCCGTTTCAGTTGGGGGCTTCAGCATCTCCAAAATGATTCAAACCTCCAACTTAGGAGAGGTGGGACAAATCCCATGGAAAACCCACTTGCTGGCGCAGTTTGCGGGTCGACTGAGTCAGTTTCCAGTTTTAAGCCCTCCCCAAGCTCATTTTGCGGAGCGACGCCCATTACGTGAATGCACTTGGTGAATGCACCACAACGCACACGTGAATGCACCGCGCCCTGGACCCCCTTCCTGAAGAAAATCCCGGGTGCGTTCCTGTTCGAGAGGCATGCAAAATGCTGCACACAAAAACCAGATACAATGAAAGGCGAAAGGCGAGGGCGAGGGGCCGGAGGGACCGGCACCGTCATAGGAAGTGTTGCTGTTGCTTCAGGACGGACGCAGGGCTGCAGGCAAATCATGTGATGGTATGTTTAATGTGAGGTTGGATGAGTGAAACAGATAAGAGATGAATTAAACTGAGTGCCATGAATCCATAATGTATTCATAGCACACAGCTTTAACGTATTTGCGAATAACCCGTCGGGCAAGTATTGCGCAATGACAGTCAAACCACAACCTCACCCCGACGCAGCCGTGCCTGCGTTTTCGTGGTTTTCCTTCCGAACGTTGGACCGTCCGTGACTCGCCCGCCCCCTTAGCCTGTCCGTCTGCCTGCGAGTCTGTGTCATTTTACAGCTGATGCTCCTCCTTCAATTGCACACGTCTGCCAGTAACTTAACATGGGATGCCGCCGAACTAGTGGCATTGCATATATGTGCCACGGACTGCACGATACTGTCCAGTGAGCCCAGAAAAAAACCGGATATCGCCTGGCTATGGAGACCATAACTAGTGATCATAATACACTTATTTGTAAGCTCAGTAAAATCCAATACAATCGTGCTATCACAAACTGAATTATATCTCCGTTTTCCCTGCCTTGAATGATTAATAAGCGAAGTGCATATCATGAAAGCCGTGCTTTCCATTCCATCCCTGATGGTTGTGACACGGGGCGCCGGTCGGTAATGGGGACACGGAACATTAGACCACAGCCAGGCCACGCCGACGCGCGTCCGCATCAATGGTGTGACGTCATACACCCGGCATGTCCCCCGACAGGAGACACGTGACAACCGACGGCATCGGCCCGCCCACGCGTCACAGCAGACTCACGTGATCACGTGCGGGTCCTCCGTCACCACCTGCCGACAAACGGACCGCTGTGAGCGCAGCCGCGTCACCTGCCGACCGTGACGTCACACCCCCGCCGTCACGTGACCCGGAGTGCGACGTCATTGTCGGATGACGGCCCGAGCGAGGCAGCCGCGTTTGCAGGAGGCGGCAACAGCACAGACCGACGTGCGACGCGACGGCTGAACGCCTTACACTCCACACGCAGTTCGTGCAACAAAGCAGCGTCTGGACAAAAATCGGCTGTCCGTGTGAGATTTAATCCTCGATCTGCCAACGTCGAGAAATAATGCTGTTCTACTATTTCTATCATTAGAATGCCTTTACTGATGGCTGATTTGATGTTCGACCTCCGACATTGCATCATTAAGTGGTGAAGAGCAGTGTGGTACAAGATGTCTGCAGAACACAGGGCTGCCCAGCTGGACAGCAGGCCTGCGGGCGGGCTGCTGCCGTGATCACACCCACCTGGCTGGCCTGAGTGGCGACCGTGCTGACATCTAGCGCCGTCGTGGCGTACTTAGACATCTGCTGTTGCAGCAGGTGGATGGTGCGGTCTTTCTCCTCCAGCTGCTGCTGCAGTGCCGCCACCTACCGAGCGGCATGGAAACTCAGCACACAGCAGTTCTGCCATCTCTGGGCTCCCAAGGTAACTAACCGCGGTGCGGCGCTTCTGCCTTTGGTGCCAGCAGCCAGTCCTTCGCTGGCGGCACGGTGGTTGCTTCTGACGTCACAGATAGCACGTCCTCACGGGTCACACACGCCACACTTCTATTCGCTCGTGCCTGGCGCATCCCGCCATGTGACGTCACCGGCAGGCGAGTCGCTACAGGTTGCATGCCTAACATAGTAACTACCATTGCAGACAAGGTCGAGGTCTACGGTGCTCGCACCAATCGTCACACGCAGCCTACCGCTGGCTCGGACAAGACCTGGGAAATGAACTGCCAGGCGCCGATGCACCACCGGCGGGCTCCATGAATATGCATGTTGAATGCACATAAGCCACGTCGATTCTTCAGCCGTCAACGCCGTTGAAACCTAACAATGCCCGCCAAAGCACTACGTCACCTCCCCTCCATCGACCGTGCTCGTTAGCCGCGACACCCAGGCCGCAACGCACAGCGGTTCATCTCCAAGACAGGGGGACCCTTAGCCGTGAAAACCGAAAATGACGTCATTGCGGCCGGCGCTAAAAGAGGCGACGTGTTTATTGGCCGACAGAAGGCGGTATTCAGGCTTTTAACAAGCTGGGCTGATGGTTTTTTCCACGCATTTTTCAACGAACGTGCCAAGTTGCTAGTGCATTTCGAAGTCCTCCAACCATACAAAAAAGCACATGAAAAGTCAAAAGTGAAAAGGGTTCATTTGAGACAGGGCAACTTCAAAACAAATAACATTGAAATAAACAAATCCGCTGCTTTAGTTTCAACCAATCAACATGCATCATCCAACCCCATAGCCAATGGACATCCAAGCACATACATTTGTTTACATTGCATTACATTATTTACGTTTACATTCGTCTACATGTCTCATTTGTTCACAACTCCTGTTCCACGGCTGACGACGTCACCAAAGCGCCGGAACCGCAGCGCCTGGCGCAGCCGTCTGTGAGCACCGAGCGACGGCGACCCACCTGCTTCTTGAGGTCGGCGTTCTCCGCCGCCAGGTCGGCGCCACCGTCGACGCTGCCCCTGCCGTCTAACGACGACACCTCGCTGGACACCGACGTGCCGCGCCGGCCCGGCTGGGTGACGCCACATCGTGACGTCAGGTGATGTCACACAACCGTGACGTCAACACACGAACCCCAAGCGGTGTGGAGACTCAGGGGATGGCGTAGGTAGAAAGGCGAACTCAGCCGCGAACTTACAAACACTTGTCGCGTGACGCGCATTGGGACGGCTGCCGATAACCCGCTGTTAAACATCTCAAAACTGTGCGTCTAAAACGTTACTTAGTTGGTGCATATCTCACAACTGCAAACAGTGTGTTTAAGTTGCGCAGGTACGCCGCCCTCCGGTCCGCCCTCCCTCCTCGAGGAGGCCGCTGTGACCAGTGGCGCCACCCGATCGCCTCCCGAGCCGATACAGGCCGCCAGTCGCATGCTACACCGGCGTCCGCACGCTGCGGGGTCGGCTCACCTGAAGACTGTGCTCAAACGGATTGGACGTCTCCGACTGAAACACGCACGACAACTTTGTCAAATTGCTGAAGCGTTAGGAGTGCCAGCAAGCACACTAGACAAACCTAGTCATGGAAGGCTAATCGGAAGCCATAGCACGCTGGACGGCGCGGATCCACCGAGCATCGACCGCGCTAACACCGTCAGCCTAAGACAGGCTGCCCCGGCGGAGCTACTACATGGACACGGATCGCGACGGTGCTGCCACCTGTCCACCCCGCCGCCAGCCGCCAGGGCCCGTCACAAAAGGCGCCAGTGATGCGACGCTCGTGCAGTTTAACGCTTCGAGAAATTGGTGGCGCGTCATACACGTCATTCCGCGATATTCGATTCCGGAGCCAAGAAACTGCGTCTGCTCGCCCAGAAATCTCCGGAACAACCCGCCGCACGCTGGCGCCCCACTAAAACCCGTGAGGCGAGGGGGTCCCAGGGATCTTAACAGGGACAGACGGTCACGGTGACAGGCCCCCGGCGGCCGGCCCTCCGGGCGCCGCCGCCTGCCGCCGCCGCTGCCGACGGACTCACATCCTGCAGCACGCGGCGCAGCTTGTGCAGCATGGTCTTGGTGTGGGTGAAGTCCTGCGCCATGTACATATACGTGTCCCGGTCGATCAGGAGCCAGTCCTCGGCGTCTTGTGTCGAGCTCTGACGACACGGGTCAGGTGTCAGAGATGACGACCCCTGGGTCAAGCTCTGGCGACGCAGGTCAGGGGTCAGAGGCGACGACCTCTGGCGACACGGGTCGGGGGTCACAGGTGCCAACCTCTGGCAACACGGGTCAGGGGTCACAGGTGCCAACCTCTGGCGACACGGGTCAGGTGACGACCTCTGGCGACATGGGTCAAGTGACAACCTCTGGCGACACGGGTCGGGGACCGCAGGTGCCGGCCTCTGGGTCAAGCTCTGACGACACAGGTCATAGGTGCAGACCTTCGGGGAGCCAGCACAACGTAAGGGGTGCTGACCCTGAGGCCAAGGGTCACGGGTTAGCGGTGACTGGCTGTGACCTGTGGCAGCGCAGGCCACAGGTGAGGGGGTCTGGCAGACGGAAACGCCGGTCACTGGTCAGGTCAGGTCAGGGACTGACCTCTCACGACCGGCTTATGATGCGGGTGGTACTGGTCTCTGGTAGAGATCTTCCCATGCGCACCATATATGACTCAATAATCATCAACGACCGAGTTCACGCCAACAATGACCTAACCCGGTACCGCTCGCGCTTACTCCGGTGCCAGGCCGATGGGCCACACTGTCAGGCTGAGTGACAGACTCATAGATGGCGTCTGGTGAAGGCTCACTTAGTCACGAAAGAACTCGCCAGTGATAACACGACGGAACAAACCCACAGCATGGTGTCAGCAAATCCCCCATGTGGCGCAACAATACCCCGGCGTTTTCATCCACCGACTGCGAATGTCGCCGTTGCGCCACATACCGCGGGGGAGGCTCCGGTCCCATTCTGAACACGGCCGACCGGTCTACTGTTGATCCACATCAGATAACGAAAGGCGGGACACGTGCTAGCTCAGCCTTAGCCTGCACCGGCCGGCCCGGGCCCATCTGTGACGTCACAGCGGCAGCACGGTGCGTGTCCCGCGGTCAGTCTGATCCAGGTCGGTTCAACGGGGTCACCGGCCCCGCTTCACAACGGGACGACCGCGGCAAGTGTCATTTTCGCAGTGCTGAATTTCCGGTGTAATTTTTCTGGAGTACCGGTTACAATGGCCCGGTAACTGGCTGCATTTACAGCCAGTGGCACGGCTCCGACTGGGTCACTGTATGAGCCACGGCAGCCACGGTGACCAACGGCCTTCTCCGTTCGCAAACTGACCACGGCTCCGACTGCGTCACTGTCTGAGCCACCGCAGCCACTGTTACCAAACAGCAGCCACTGCTGCCACCGGGCTCCTCCGTTCGCAAACTGATTACGGCTTCGACTGCGTCAATGTCTGAGCCACGGCTATCAACGGGCTTCTCTGTTTGCAAACTGATTATGTCTTCGACTGCCTCACTGAGCGACGGCAACCAACATCGCCACAAGACTTCTTCGTACGCAAACCGACCACGGCCCAGACCATGCATCATGATAGTAATCAGGCTCCATTGGTCACGAACTGCACCTGGGTCTAACCGGACTTCGTGACACGGTCCATTATCATTATGGACTTATAACGCACTCAGCTGCTGAGGCTACATGGCGTCTCATGCCTCTCGCCGAGCGGACACCGCGGGGAATCGAACCCCGTACCTCTGGTTTCCAAGACGGACAGCTTAACCACTACACTAACGCAGCTAAAGGCGTTTCTGGCTTACAATCTGACCAGCGCGCTGAGCGGGCTTTGTAACGACGTTAACGCCCATCCCAATCCATAAACTGACCGCTCTCTTGACCGCGTTTTATAATGTGGGAAACCGCCTACCACGACCTTATTGATCTGACCGCCACTACGACGGTGGCTCGTCGCAGAACACCTGTCACCAGCCGGAGCTCATGGCCCAGTCCCTGGCTTCACAAACTAACCGCGGTGCAATGACTCCCACCGGGTCAGAGACACGCTCACGCTCAAGCGGCCCGACACAACGCAGACCCCGCCCAGGCCGCCTCTGCGCCGCACGCCTGCGCGGGCCTTACGACGCGAGCTGACGCTCCCTCGCTCAGCAGCGAACCCAAGCCCCCAGACAACCCCAGGCTAGGCCGAGTCAGGCCCCCCGACCGGCGACGGTGAGGTGCCCACCTGGCGGGGTGGCCGCAGCAGCTTGGCCGGCCCGGTCGGCTCCGGCGAGGGTCGGCTGGCATCGGCGCTGCTCGCCGCCCGGATCCTCATCCGCTGCAGCCGCGTGATCTGGCCCGACAGGCTGCAACAGAGCGCGTCGCGGCGTCAGGGCGGCGACGGCCAGAGCCAGAGGCCCGCCGCACGGCCGGCCAGAGTCAGGCAGGCTGCAACAGAGCGGCGCCGAGGCGTCAGGGCGGCGACGGCCAGAGCCTGAGGCCCGCCGCACGGCCGGCCAGAGTCAGACAGGCTGCAACAGAGCGGCGCCGAGGCGTCAGGGCGGCGACGGCCAGAGCCAGAGGCCCGCCGCACGGCCGGCCGGCTCAGTGACATGACACGAATGGATGGCGAGTGAATGACGCGTCACGAATGAATGGTGAATGGATGGCATGGCAGGCGGATATGACGTTTGACAACTGGCGACAGGCGGTTGGTGTGGTCCGAAAAACTGCGATGGAATGCGAAAAATGCGCTAGGCATAGGCGAGCTTACGAAAACACCCAGTACCAAATGCGTTTATCCGCGATGGGCGCGACATCCAGGCGGGCGGACGGAGGCGTGACACGACCAAGACGCTCGCCAGTGGTGAACAGGCTATCGGGTCCGACAGCACAGGAACGGCGCGAGGGACGCCGGGAGCTGGCCTCGCAGCCGCCCTGGGCGACGGCGGCCGGCCGGGGCGCCCAACGCCGGCCACGGCAGAGACGAACACCGGACACAGCAGGGACGAACACCGGACACAGCAGGACCCAACACCGGACACAGCAGGGACGAACACCGGCCAGAGCAGAGCCCAACACCGGACACGGCAGGGACGAACACCGGCCACAGCAGGGACGAACACCGGCCACAGCAGGGACGAACACCGGCCACAGCAGGACGAACACCGGACACAGCAGGGACGAACACCGGTCACGGCAGGACCAAACACAGGCCACAGCGAGGATGAACACCGGCCACGGCAGGGACGAACACCGGACACAGCAGGGACGAACACCGGACACAGCAGGGACGAACACCGGACACATCGGGACGAACACAGGTCGCAACAGGGCCAAACGCCGGCCACAGCAGGGACGAACACCAGCTACACCAGGGCCGAACGGGACGCCGCGCTGGGGTCGGCGTCAGACCGTAACTGGCGTCAAGGTGGCGCGATCCGCCGCCGCTGAGGCTCCGCGGCGCGCTCCCAATGCGCCAGTTCACACCTGGACGTGAGGCCGACGCGACAGATGCCGCGCAGACAGCTGTAGCGCAGACAGATGTCAGATCGCAAAAGGCGCATCAATCGTAAATGGCGACGCGATGGTGCGCGCTCTTCCACAGTCGGGACGGTCACAGAGGGCGTTCCCAACAGTGGCAGCTGGCTCTGCACACGTCGTAACACACCCTCAAACGAGCGCCGACGCCGCCCCACCCCCTAAAAAACAGTCCCGGAAGCGGGCGGCGGCCGGCCGGATACGGCTACCGTGCGACTCCCACGACGGACCGGCGGACGGCGGCGGCGCGGGGCGCCGTCCGCGCCGCCGGACCCAGGTGTCCTGAGCCCGGACCGGCGCCTCTGGGCGGGTCCTCTAGCGGCACCCTCCGCGGGGCGACGTCCGCGCCGCCGGACCCAGGTGTCCTGAGTCCGGACCGGCGCCTCCGGGCGGGTCCTCCAGCAGCGCCCGTGGCTTTGTTATCTGGCTTTGGATGCGGCACGGGCGGCGGATTTGCCCGCACTGCACTCGTTTAATACCCGTCTCCTTCCAGCGGATCTTCTAAAACCCCGCCTGTGCACACGGCGACGGCGCCTCGACTGGGCAGCCCGTGTCGGTTCACCGGTCCCCCCCCCCCCCCCACAACACGGGGCGGACGGCCTACCGAGCCGAGCCGGGGTCAGAGGTCACGGTCCGGTGCCGGGCGCCGCTGAGCGCCGACGCCACGGACGCCTGACGCCCGTACAGGTCACGGGGTCGCCGCCGCGGCCACCCCAGGTCAGCGACGGTAGTTCAAGGCGGGCAATCGGCGCAGAAACGGCCGGCCAAATTGCCGCATGCGGGCCGCGGCGGCGGTGAGACTGCCGGCCGGCTGCGGCGTGGCGGCCGCGGCAGAGTGCGTCGGGCAGTGCGTCGCCGGAACACTCGATCTACTTTGCGTTCTGTTACAACTTCAATATCAATTGCGACGGCGCAAGACACATGCCCGTAAGCGGGCGCCCGGTTAGGGACATTAATCGGGCATGACCTCTTTAGCAGAACACAGATACTGAACGCGACATAGAACGTATCCACCACCTAGGCGAACAATATGGATCTATCTCTCACGAAACATCGGAATGTCGTATCAGTCACCAAATGTGTGCCTTCGGCGTTACGGATTGGCATTGTGCAAGCAAAATTTGGGGAGTTTTACCAACAAATTCGCTTTTTAGGTAGTTGTTATCCATCCATCGCCGTCGGCCTGATGTCCAAGTCTGAACCTACTGGCTAGCATCGTCCAAAACCCTGCATTAGTACGCGCTCGGGTGGGGGGTCAAACTGACCCTCCGACAGTTTTTTCCAGAATGGTTTCCGAACGTGTGTGTCATTGGGGCTTTACGACGCACTCGGCAGCTGAGGCTATGTGGCGTCGCCTGTCACTCACCCTGGCAGGAAGGGCGGGTACCGCGGAGAATCGAACCCCGTACCTATGATTTCCCAGACGCGCAGTGGTCAACGCAGACGCGTTAACCGCTACCCTACCGGCACCATACGGTTTCTGAACGGCGGGGCGGAGCCGCGCCAAATTTTGCATGGCTGTAGACAATTAAGTAGCAGTTCGTCTGGCATCCAAAATATAAACACAACTTGTGAGGTCGCTGACCTATGGCAGGTCAAAGTCATGTCATGGTTTCAGCGAAGGTAATTTCTAGGGAATCGTTCAATCTGATCCAACAAGGGAGTGTTAGACGAAGCCATAAATATCTGAGATACTTTATTAAGCAACACAGCAACTGAATAAGCAAATCACATTGACCTAAGGTCAGGTATGAACTTAAGACCAAGGTAAAAAACAATCTGTTTTATTACTCTAGCGCTTGTTGTATGTAGTTCCTGGTGTTCATTTCGAATTTATTGATGACGGGAATCGCATTATACACTTTGTATAGACTTCTTAAAAGTCAGAATAGGTCACTGACCTTGGATAACCCAGATTAGCAGTTTGTGTTTAGGAACGTACTGCCTAGAGTAATCTTTGTCGCTTATCCAGATGCAAAACTCAAAGCTGTCTTGTATGATTTTGTTCATCATGACATTCAAAAGGTCAAACAAGGTCAATGACTAGGATGAGCATGTGACGTTTTGCTTACAAACAGTTATCCAGGCTCTGGGGCCCTTTTGAGACCAGCCTGCAATTTGACCTTGTTTGACCTTATTTAACCCGAACATCATAACCTAGGAACCTCAAACTTTGACCCATAAGAGTTCACGTATAGGTCAACACACTCCGTGAATTTGGTACATCTAGCTCTTTTAGTTCCTGAGATCTCAGGAGGCTCAAGTTGCCCTCCCCCCCCCCACACCTGAGCGAAGGGTATCCAACCGGCCACCCGGGCGCGTGTTAACAGCCGTGTGCACCAACTGCCGTGGCGACAGCGACGCAGTGGTGGTGACCCAAGGTCTCGTGCTTCACATCACTGCCCTGTGGTCCACTCAGTCACGTCCAGATCCGGCCACACCACGTGGCCACGGTATCCAGATCCGACCACGCCGTGCGGCCACGGTATCCAGATCCGGCCACACAGCGTAGCCACAATATCCAGATCCGGCCACACCGCGTGGCCACAATATCCAGATCCGGCCACATCATGTGACCACGGTATCCAGATCCGGCCACACCGCGTGGCCGCAGCTCAGGGCAGCAGAGACCGGACCGGGGTCGGGGTAAGCAGCAATGTCACGGCAACCAGAGCGGGAGGGAGGGGGGAGGACGTACGCCAGACCCGAGCCAGACTCCTGACGAATTCCACCAGCGGGTGACGCGCACCGCACGTGGGAGCAAGTAACCGCAGCAGCGGCGAGCGACAGGCGGCGCGCGCCCGTGATTGTTGTTTGCATGCGCCAGGCGCTCTCCAAGGTGAGACCTCACTCGGCGTCACCACATGGCGACCAGCCGCCGTGAAATCGGCGTCAGAAAAACAAACCCGCCGCCGGCCGGCGACTACAACACGGCGCGCACCGCCCGGCTGGTCGACATACACTGCTCCAGGCGGCAAACGAGGCGCGGCCGTCAACGAAACGGCCGGCGCACGGTGGCAGTCAAGGCGCCGCGTCCGACAGAGGCCTGCCACACGGCCGGCGCTGGAAGGTCCCGCTGGGAGGTCAGGCCGACGGACAGCCGGCCGCCGCGGGGAGGTTAGGCTGGCAGACAGCCGGCCGCGGTAGCAACAGACTGGCTCACGGTGCCTGCAGCAGCTGACAGCCTTTGAGGGCCGTCGCGTCGGCTCGGCCGTAGTTCGTCGTCTTTCTGATGGGTCAGTGGATCTATCTTCGTAAGTCAGGCGTTACAGCTAACATGGTGCCATATGGCAGATGCTGCAACCAGTATCGAATCACACGGATTTTTCGCACCGTACCCACGAGACGCGGACCAAATTATCATTTCTCCAGAGACTGCATTTGCCACCGGATACATTTCAAAATGTGATTTGCGGGGCCTTTCAACTCGTCTTGTTTTTTCACGAACGCTCAATTTCGCTCCACTAAGACCTGCTAGCATGTGATGAACAGCCGAATCATGGCATGTCTTGTCGATAGATCGCAGCTGCCTACGCTGCTCCCAGAAACGGCGTGGCCCAGGCAGTGTTCCTGACGTCGCCGATCAACAAGAGGTTTGATAGAGACAACCTCAGAGATGTGATGCACACACGCTAATTGCTTTGCACAAAGCTTGCAACGAACCCCATTGTATGGGAAAGGGCTTCTTCCTGATGAAAGCAGGATTTGCGTTAACCAAGCATGGCCGCCGCATCTCAATGCCAGACAGAACATTGTTCTTGACGAGGTCAGATGACGCGTCGTCACGGGACGTTTACTGCTAATGCGAGGACTTCCAGAGAAACGG